CCTGTGCCTCGTGTGATGTGATGCCCTTGGAGTGAATAAACCGAGCATTCGAAAAGGCATCTCGCGTGTGGCGGCTTCTTCCTTCAAGACACGGATCGTCGGCCGGGAGAGGTTACCTGGGGCAGGGGCGACCGTGACTTCAGGACCACCCGGAAGCGGTCGGGGGACCTCGCCGCCGTCCTTTGCTCGTGTCAGGTGGTGACCGAGGACTCGAGCAACATGCAGAATGTGGCCCCTTTCTTAATGTCATCTCCTCTGAAAGACACATTTGAGCTGGGCCTGGTGGCACATGCCTGTCATCTCAGTGGCTTGGCGGGCTGAGGCAGAAGGATCACAAATGAGAGGTCAGCTTCAGCCACTTTGTAAGGCCCTGTCTCTAAATGGAAAATAAAAAGGGCTGGGGATGTGCCTCGGTGGTTAAGGGCCCCTGGGTTTAATTCTTGGTACAAAAAAAAAAAAAAAGACACATTGAACTGAGGACCCTGGATCCCTGACAGTCTGCAAGACACTATAAAGGGAAGGTAGTCGTGCTGGTGGGGATTTTCCTGCCCCGCTCGTCTGCTACCTGCAGGCTGAACTTCTTTCAAAGCATCTAATCTTCTGTTCTCTCAAAACACACCTTGTTCTGAGGTCCTGGGGTTGGCAAGTAGCCAGTTATGCCACTCGGAGTCATCCTCTTGGGAATTCAGATCTTGAGCTGAATCCTACCAAGATAAACCCCCCTCATGTAAACCAAAGCTGCACTGTGAGTTGGGGAAGCTACCGATTTGACCCTGCGGTGTGGATCTCCAGGTTCAAGAGCTACCCTTGCTTTGGGATCTCTGAGTCTTGCTTTCCAAGTGTTGCTTTGATTCCATGAAATCTGTCTTAACCCTTGATAAATTCTTTTCGGTCTTGATTTTCTGTTCCTTGTAACCATATCACCCTAATTTTGTACGCTCACATGATGCATCCAGTTATTTATTAGACCACTTAATACCGAGCTGCCTTTATTTCCAATCACTTTACAGAAGCATTCTGATGTGGTCACAAGGAAAGTGATTGGGTAAGATTCAAATAAACCTGTTGATGAAGATCAGTGTGGCCATCTTTTAAAAGAAATGCCATTAAGAATATATCCCAAATTTTCTCTGTGCTCATTTCATTAACTGAACTTAGCGCTGAAGTAGGATTCAGAAGACCTCACTGCTGCACCTAGTGATTACAAAGAGACGGTGTGACCTTAGGCAAGGTACTTACCCTCTCTGATCTTGTTTCATAGCTGTAAGATGAAGGGATGGGGGAGGTTCTTTTGAGTATTCTGCTCCTAAGCTAGTTTCTAATGTTCTAAGTGGAAAAGATATGCTTTAGAAACCACTGAGGAAAATGAGGAGATGTAACTCAAGAACTCCTTTTCAATTTTTATGAAAATAGAGTCATTTTTCTCATATGGATTGGTAAATAGAGTTAAATCCCAAGCTCACCCAAAGGTGAGCATGTTATGAAGGATCCAGTATCCTTTGTGCCTGTAATGATTGTACATTTAAGAGGAGAGTTCTAAAAAGGTCAGGATTATCAAATAGGTCTCCCATCTTTTAACTGAAACCTAGTTATAGACCAATCCCAAGGTCAGCAATACATGTAATTTAATTTTAAGTTAGTAATAAATGAATTTTCGAGTAATGTGGACCTTCCAAGGAAATTTATGTTGAAGCAAAATTTATCTTACAGTGTATTGGACTATTTTTTGGACAACTCTTCAAAATTCTATATTGCAAGATTCAGATCTAGCACCGACCGAAGAGAACAAAGAAAAACACATCTATCACTTAAAAGAGTCTGAATCTCAAAATGCATTTATCTTTTCACCTTATTTCCACATTGGATACTCCTCTGACCTCCAAAAGCCCACCTAACCCACAAGTTTTCCACAGTTGTTCCGGAGGATCTCCTACTGCTGCTGGTGCTTGATGTCAACTCTTTGGCAACATCATGAAATCATTTTCCTTGAGCTGAGCAAAATGGCCAATCCATATGGCAGAAGGCCAAATATCCAAAGGATTCCAATCAGTTCTCTCTAGAGCTGAATTCATCCAACAGGATGGAAGAACACAATTGATGAAAAAAGTTTACTTTCCCAAGTATCATGGAAACTCACACATGTGAACTTACAAGGCATAAGAAATACCAAGACATTATTTTATTTTATTTTGTACTTATTAGTTATACTATAGTATTTTGACATATTATACATATATAGAGTATAACTTCTCATTCTTCTGGTTGCGCATGACGCAGAATTGGTCATGTCATCATATATGCACATAGGAAAGTAATATCTGATTCATTCCACTATCTTACATTAATGTTGCATTTGTTGCAAAAACAATTTCAGACCACAACTTTTTTTTTTCTTTTTCTTTCTGGTATCGGGGATTGAACCCAGGGGTGCTTAACCACTTGGCCATATCCCCAGCCCATTTTTATGTTTTACGTAGAGATAGGGTCTTGATGAGTTGCTGAGGGCCTTACTACGGCTGGCCTTGAACTTGCGATCTTCCTGACTCAGCCTCCTGTGCTGCAGGGGTTACAGGCGTGAGCTACTGCACCCAACAGAGCACATGCTTTCACAATCATAAATTCTTCTAATTTCATCATCAGGATTAAGATGAAATGAGTCAAGCATGGTGGCACATGCCTATAATCTCAGCGGCTCCAGAGGCTGAGGCAGGAGGATGACAGGTTCAAAGCCAGCCTCAGCAATTTAGAGAGGCCCTACGCAACTCTGCAAGACCATGTCTCTAGATAAAATATTAAAAAGAGCTGGGGATGTGGCTCAGTGGTTAAGTGACCCTGGGTTCAATCCTTGATACCAAAAAAAAAAAAAATGAACTAAGATAACATGGTCAACCATTAGCACAATTTCAATGCTTTACAGATAGATGTCAGCTCTGGTCTCTGACATTAAATCAGGCACTGTTATAATTTTTACTTAAAGCACATCCTTTAGTCCTCACTGCCTTTGAAAACAGATGTGATTATTACTGCTATTTTCCTGATAAGGAAATTGAAGCTCAGAGTGGTAGGAATGCGATGCCCAAGGTCATATAGCTTGCAGTGATGGGCAGAGCTGCAGGTCACATCTAGGCTCAGTGCATTTTTTTTTTCTTATACCAGAGACTGAACTCAGGGACACTTATCCACTGAGCCACACCCCCAGCCCTATTTTGTATTTTACTTAGAGACAGGGCTCACTGAGTTGCTTAGCTCCTCACTTTTGCTGAGGCTCTTTGAACTTGTGATCCTCCCGTCTCAGCATCCAGAGCCACTAGGGCATTAAAAAAATAAATAAATCTGTCATATTAACAAGTACAAGGTGAATCTGAAAGATCAAGAAAGTGGATCGGGTTTTTTGAAAACATTGAATTATCAACTAAACATTATGCCAAGGGAAAAGGCATTTGCCCCCTTTCCGATGGCACTGTTAGGGATGACTAATCTGCTATGTGTGCTTGCTTGACATCTGATGAGTTGACCATGAGCCACCAGCACAGCTCACCGTTGTGCATTTGACCTGAGGGTCTGAGGTCTCCCTGGTATGCTTTACCCGGGGACGGGTGGAGGTGTCATTATTCAGCCTGGCTGCTCATCATGGAGAGGAAGATGCTGGAGTTTCTGTGACCTAAGCAAAGACCTCCTTGGACAGCAGCCGCCATTGGCTTTGACCAGAGACAACACCCATAATAGGATCCATCTGTGCAGGCGCCTCAGGAGGGATCCCACATCCATCTCCAGAGAACATGACACAAGCCATTTGTCAGGCACGGTCACATGTGTTTGCTGTGACCACACTTTATCCTTTTAGTCCAAGCCGTAATTCCTTGTTTTGAGAGCGCAACTGTGTGGTGCCAGGTGTTGATACTTTAGAAAGAAACAGCAATAGGAACAGCTGCGGTGGTAGATTGCAGTTTGTTTTCAGCCTCACTGGTGATAAGTCACTGTGCCAGATGAAATTAGAGTGTCAGACAGTCTTTGCATTTCTACAATAGTGTAGGGTTTGTAAAATGACCTTTCTCCAGGGGACTTCCTCTGGAATGGACCTTCATTCAGAGACAGACAGCTCCACAGAATGCTAGCTGAGGCCCTTACACCTCCTGAATGCCATCCAAGATCCTCTAGTTATTCCTGAACTTTCCACACTATCCCAGTCACTCCTCCATTGTGACTGGGACAGGTTGTTATTTATCAATTGTTCATCTTCCTGTCAATTCATATTCAGTGGGACATTCGCTTTTACTTTCCTTTGGGGGTGAACGTCATTCTGAGCCCCATAAGTGCTGGTATGATTGTTAATACCTTGCACAATGAGACTTTGTATGTTGTGACTTAACAAAGGCAAAAATAGTTTAATGAGAGTTCTGCAGATTTTTTGGCTTCTCAGGTAAAAGCAATGCACCACTAACAAAAATCAGGTCCCCACATTCTTTGTTAGGTAGTAAAATCAGGACCTTACAACAAAGTAAAATTTCTATTGAGTACAGGATTAGTGAGGTGTTACTTTGCTATTTTAGAAAATGTGGTGTGAGGGTATTATGAGAGCTAGGC